GAATTCAATGTAGCGCTGCTAAGGGATTCATCCAATCCCAGAGCTATCTACTCATCGAAGGCTGTCGGGGAACCCCCGCTCTTCCTCTCAGCCTCCGTATTCTTTGCCATAAAAAATGCCATTCTGGACGCAAGGCGGGACGCCAAGGTTTCCGGCAGATTCAGATTCGATTCACCAGCAACTTCCGCCAGAATTCGCACGGCTTGCATCGATGAATTTGTTACAAAAGTAATTCATCGATCTTTTTCATTTCAATTATGTTTACGGTCTTCCCGCAATCTAATATTTTTTTTCCGTCTCAGTTTCCTGATGTCGATGTCAACAAAGCCTGGAACAAAGTGCCGTAAACATCCTGACACAAATCGCCAATCTACAGAATTAAAAAAAAAATTGAATAAAATAAAATTTTTCATCGTCAGAGCATTAAAAAAAAATGGTATACAAAATATACATAAAATTTTATAATTACCAGGTAATATTTTTTTTTAAGTAAACTAGGTCTATGAATCTTCAGTGCATTCGGTAGAAATTTTTAGACATCTTATTGTATTGGAATTATTTTCTGTCAAGTATTGGAATTTCACTCGATAAAAAAAATACATTATCTACGTGAGATCTAATGCGCAGATAGATTCTTGGAAAGAATGTAAGGCATTGGCGCCACCTTCAAATGGCTACACGTATAAGGATAAAATACTGATAACTTCGAGTGCTCGCAGAACAGATGATTTTCAAGGGCATCTGTTGCTGTTTTTATTCATGACTTGCTTGTCATTCCTTATGTCAGTGCGGCGTTACCAATTGAAGTAAGTAGACGGTTTTGTTGAATTTACGCGAAGATAGTCGTAGAGCAAACCATGGGAACAGTAGAAAATGGTGGGCAAGGGAAAGAGGTAAATTATGAAGAGAAATTATCAGATACTTTGGTGTTTTACGTCAACGGGAAACGGGTAATTATAATATCTGTAATCACTAGCTGAGAGTATTTATGGAAATGTGATGAAGTCATCTGACTTTTAGATAGTTGATAACGAAGTCAATCCAGAGTGGACTTTGCTGTATTATCTTCGAAACAAATTGCATTTAACGGGAACCAAACTGGGATGCGCAGAGGGTGGTTGCGGTGCATGCACGGTAATGCTATCGAAATTTGATCGTCAGAGACGAAAAATTATCCACCTAGCAATCAATGCTTGTCTAGCGCCGATCTGCAGTGTCCATGGGACATCGATAACAACCGTCGAAGGCATAGGTAGCACCAGAACTACTTTGCATCCCATTCAGGAGCGGCTGGCAAAGGCTCACGGTTCACAATGTGGCTTCTGCACCCCGGGGATCGTTATGTCGATGTACGCCCTGCTGAGATCGAAGCCCAAACCCTCGATGAAAGATCTGGAGGTGACATTTCAGGGGAATCTCTGCAGGTGCACAGGA